GGGGATTATGAAAATTAACAGCAACGAAACCACACCACTTAAGTATTACATAGAAGTGGTAGTAGTAGTAAAGTGGGTAAACCAGTTTTGGCAACCTTTTATAAACCTTTCCCAAACCTTGGTTCAAGTGGCAAAACTTGGATATACGATTATCGTATAATTACGATCATCATTGCCATTGTTATTATATTCTCGTTCGAGAAGCGAGACGAAACGAGACTGGAGACTGCGAGACGAGACTTGATACAAGACTTCTTATTTCATCAACGATACGAGGCAAGACTTGAAAGTCTAGTCTCGTTGGTCTCGTGGGCATCACTACCTACCATACCGACAGCAAGCGATTTTTTTCATTTATTTAGTCGGTACAGCACTACTTTACCCCTTCTACAATTTTTTTTCTGTGTATATCTATTTATTTTTTCAAAATATTTTGGAAAAACGGAAGCTATGAAAATTATCCGAGAAAAATATTATATCTATTAATAATGACTTCGCTGATTTAAAGTTCGATAACATATTATAGAAGATAAATACTATTTTTGTTGTTTTCTTAAAAAAAAATAATTAATTAATTCAAAGTTACCTCTTTGTTATTTTGACTTTTGTATAATTTTGATAACTTTATATAATAATAAAAATATTATTATTACTAAGTGATGGATAAATGAGTCGTCTAGTTTCAAAAGCGGTCATCTCCAAAAATTTTTTAAAATGATTTATTTAAACCAATAAAATCGAAATATTACGTAGCAAATTATGCCCCAACAAAAACGGCTATTTCCAAGGAAAATAATTCAATAAAGTTTTGTTAGTTTCAATACCGGCCATCTCCATTGATGTTTTAAGTACATAAATGTACTAAAAATGCCCTTCTCCCCCTTTGAAATATATGTTTATTTTTAATTAAAAATTAAATCTGGTTATTTATTTTGTAGAAAAAATATGTAAAAGTTTTTTAAAATATATTTATTTTTTACCCATTAGTGTTTAGAATGTTTTTTGCCGTTTACTTAAGAGGAGATGGCCGCTTTTGAAATTCACTCAAATGTAGGACTACAAGTACAATAAAAAGTATTTAGTTTTTTTAACGATTTTCTTTTTTTGTCAAGAGAACAAAATTAATATTTTTCTTGTAAGCCTAATCTGCGAAAAAGAATCTATAGGCCAAATAGGATCTTTCACATTAGCGATGACCCCCGATGTAGAGGCCGTGGGCTCATGGTCCCGCTGACCCCGTGCTAAATTTGGCCCTGATAAGACATTTTCCCAAATAACTTAATCTTAATGTTTGTATTTTTTTAAATTATGATCAAATGAATTAGAATTTTTTTAGATTGCCTTACTTATAAACATTCATATAGTCGATACTTCATAATATATGGTAGTCAATCGAGTTGATTTAAAATAAATTTAATTGGTATTAATTTTTTGTTAATATATATAATTTTTGATGAAATAAATATTGTATTCTAAAAAACAAATAGCAAAAATTGACTATTTCTGCTTTTGCTGTCGTTTATTTTAATTACTGAATTGAAAGGGCAACAAAGTAAACAAGTTTCGGTATTTTTTATCCAAATTTCCGTTTTACCCATAGATATCTACCAATGCTCTAGATTTGCAGTTACTTGGTGAAACCGTTCTCCATGTTCATTAGTTCGGCAAATTTATCAGGATGAAAAAAAAAGAAAATGTATTTTAAATGACATTAACGCTAATTCTTTACAAAACGTTGAGCATTTTTGCTTGGGCGTAAAGGTACCGCAAATTTACAACGACGACATAAAGGTTCGTCTCCTTTCTCTGCCACTTCCATTACCACTTCCATTTCCTGGTCTTTTTAAACTTTTGGTTCTTAAAATCACTTTCAAGTAAAAATACAATTTAAATTTTAAATGTCAAAAATTAATAAATGCACTTTAATGTGCTTGAACGATAAAGTATGTAAAGGCGCCTTTATACTTAAATTCGATATTAAATTTTGATACGACCTAATAAATAAGATTGGAGATTAAAATTTTGGGTAGGTACTTTAGGCATGATGTAAATAAAAAAATATCAAATAATAGTCGAAGAGTAATGTTTATACCGAAACCCATTTACTTTTTTGCCTTTTGAATTTAATTAGTAATTAAAAAAACGACAGAAAAATTTCAAAAAATTATACTTTTTACCAAAAAAACATTATAATTTTAGTTTTGGTATTTAATAAAGCACTTTCCTGCAGACAAGTGCTTTATTAAATATATATACATGGTGTTATGTTATTAATGTTATATATTAAAATGGGTAGTTCCTTAAGGTACATAAAGAATCACCTGAAACTTTTTTTTTCTAAATTCCAAAGACTAAAAATAATTTATAATAACCTTTATCCTACCAAAAAGTACGCCACTGATCGACTAGGAACAGCGGATTAACCTTACCTATTACTTTTTAATGCAGTGTTGCCAAATGTAAAATTAAAAATGTATTACCTTATTTGAGATGCTCAAAATGATTTCATTATTTAGAATGCAAGCTTAAACTCTGCGAAGCATGCTTTCGCGCACCTGCGTAAAAATGTTTGAACTATTTACAATTCCTGAGTTGCTGCCCAAATCCCGTCTCTCGTAAATGTGGCCTCATCGGTATACAAAACACTATGGCTCCAATCAGCATCTTCTTGATTTTTCTGTTTATAGGTACCAATGGCAAAATTCCAACCGCAGTGCATAATCTCAATCCTGAAGAGCTTGAACTTTTTGTAGGTTCAAGGGCCACAAATTCACGTCCCTGAGCCCGACCCCTATCACCAACAAATGCGCTAAATCTTCCGCGGTCCCTTAAATTTTGCACAGCACGTACAAAACTTTGCTCCGAGGGCGGTGGATGTCCGTGATTTGCGTTGTGATAATTTTGAATATACCTACCTACAAAATTCTTGCTTGACGAGCATTTTGCATCGCTTCCCCGTAACACAAAACCATATTTGTTAATTGAATATTTGCGAGCGTCCGACCCGCCATAGCATAAAATCTTTCGCACTAATTAAGTACTTATAAGTACATATATGATTATTACTAATAAAATACAAATTTTCAAACTTTCAAAATATTTATAAAAGAATAAAAACCTGAAAAAACTTGAAAAAAAATAAAAACCTGAAATCGCCTTGTAAAAATTTGTAAACTAAAGATTTTTTTAAAAATCGTTTTAACATTGTGATTTTAAAACATACTTATAACAAATATATTTAAATTTAGACACACCAGATTTAAACTTTATTCATAATTCGTAATATAATGATTTACTTTCTGGTTTAATTTATTTGTTGGTTGGTAACACTGTCAAAAAATTGTAGGTTATGTGCTCAAATTGTAAATATCTTAACTAAGGGAAGTGTTTTTGGGCGTTTGGATTTATTTACACAAATTGAATGTTTAACGATTAACCTGTGAACTTGTCCTAATTTCATCTGAGTAAACAGAAAGAAAAAAACCGATGAAAAAATTAATTTTATGGAGTTTTTAAATAGGTACTAATTTTTCTTATCATTGCTTAAGTTAATAGCTGGATTAGTAAATAAATACAGAATGGTATTAGAACTTTAAGGGCTTAAAACTTTTGTATTTATTTATTTTATGCAAGAAAATTTTTTAGTAACAATTTTTTACAACTGGCAACGCGCAGCTACTTTGTTAGTTTGTATCTATGTACTCACAGAACACAAGTGTGTAACCAGTTGCGTATCACAAAAAATATAAAAAACTTCTAATGCATATATTTTCTTTATCTTTGGGATAATATCTTTTAAAATATTTTTCCATTACACCTTATGTCAAAAGGTATTCAGTATTTTAATATATAATATTAATTACATAACACCCTGTATATATATATATATATATAGGTCTTCGATCGTAAGTCATTTTGTGTTTGTAAATTATTGACAAATGTTAAAATATAATTTTATTTATATGTATACTTTGATAAAAATGTATATTTTCACAGGGAGTGGCTATTTATCCGGAAGGGTCTGGTGAATAGGCCGTAAACTCTGAAATTGATAAACTTAATGGGTTTTACTCTAAATAACTAAAAGAGTATATTGTGAGATATGACTACCGAAATCTTATTGAACTGTCTGAAATATTTTTGGGAGGACATCAAGAAAAGAAATGCTTATAAAAAGCTGAAATTTCATATAACAGTATATTTTAGCAATACTAATTAGTATATTAATATATTTAAGGGATAAAATCACTTAAATTAGTGATACAAATGATAGAAACAAAAGCAATAATATTAATAAGTAATCATATTTAATAAAATCATTAGAAAAATACAGTCATAAAGTATATCTTATTTTTAAAGTGTTTGGTGTTACAAAATACCGCGCGCGCCTATAGTTGGCTAACGGAGATTTTAGATGCAAGTCGGCACGGGTTCCCGTTTATAGAATGAGCTGAAATTTTTACTGGGAGTATATAAACAAGTAATAAACATAATTAGAGGGTATATAAACAAGTAATAAACATAATTAGAGGGTATGCGTAAAAAAATAAATATAAGGGACACCCTAATGTATATATATAATACTAGAATAAAACAAAAAAAATTCCATTTGACATTTGTCTACCGACGACTTGGTATGGAGTCCCTGTATATTTTTGACGAAAAACGTCAAAAATATACTGACATCCAAAATAGATTTAAGGAAAAATAATTTAATAAATAATCAAACTGCGCGTACTTAATGTTAGTAATTCGAACTATCATAGTGTAATGAACCTCAAATTGGGTCACCAATTTTTATAAAAGCTAGATTAAAAAGTTTATTTGAACTTTTACTTTTTAAGAACGGAATTTCAAATAGGTAGTTTAAAATATGAAAGAAGAAAGCAATGGTTTATTTTGTAAGAAAGAAGTATCGAGAAGATGAAGAGATAGATGGATGATGGGTGATGGGTGGATGGATGATGGTACCGCAGAGGTGGCCGGTGCTGTGGAGGAAGGCCTACTCCGTCGTCGTTCGAACGGCAAGCAGTCACCGTCTGCGGATCGATTGTTCGGTTGCGTACAGGCATAGTCTCGTTGGAAAGTGTGGAGAGCGCGAGCGAGCGAGAGACTTCGCAAGCCGTCTGGCAGTGTGTTATGGTGGCCCGCAGCAGACGGTGCACTCGACTACCGCCGCCGTGAACAAGTGTGTAACAAGTGATGCTCCGTGCCGGCGAACTGGTGCGTGCCGTCACCTGGACGACGGCGCTCTTCGCCGCCGTCGGCGCCGTCCTCCAGCTCCCCAATACCACCGGCATCGACGGACAACTCACCGCCAATCTCAAAGTCGACCACTTTTTTTCCCTATGGTTGGTCTTCAACAATGAAAACGTCAAAATGTCAGGTAAATCACCAAACAACAAATACCACCAATTAACATTTAAAAATATATACTGTAAACAAACTTATAAATAACTAAATAATTCCCAGTAAACTTTTAATTGATAAAGAAACAAACAATACTCAACAGGTTAGCGTCGCTAAAATAAGATTTTGTTTAACTTAGCAAATACAATCATAAATCTCAGCAATAGCAGTAAATAAGGAAAGCAAATAATCATTGCTTACCATTAATGCAAATTATACGTAAATTGATTTATACAGAATAAATAGGATTATATCATTGGGTTATTTATAAATTAACTTAAAGGAAATTTTAATTATATTTTTCGTTTTAAGCAAACTTTGCAGAATTTTATTATATAAATCATAAACATTAACTTAGTTATAGGTGGCAGGTTGACTTTATTACATTTTTATTATTATTGACGGGCTTTTTATTATTGCAATCTTGTCATTAGAGCCAATTGCTGGGATTAAATAAACGCGCAAAACGGTTATATGATGACTTATATCGAACGTCCAACATGTGTTTTCAGTAATTAATATTGCAATTTCAATCTGTACACTTTTAAAATTTACAACTACAAACTAATGGAGAGTCCAGCTATTTCGATAAAAAAGTAATTAAATGTTTTATTAATTTCGAAATACCGGTGCATCCGCCATTTTTGCAAATTTAACAAAATAAATTTGTTAATTCTTTAATACTTTTATTATATTTATTTCGACAATTTTTACATTGAAAAAAACTAAAACCGTGATTAAACTATAACTTTCAATACCAGATTTCTGATTCTCAAATATTTACATCAAAAAGAATATTAGTTATAACTGCCTTTTTGTACTTTTTTTTAAATCAAAATCAGTGGTACCTATAGGTACCACTGATTTTGATTTAAAAAAAAGTACAAAAAGGCATATTCTTTTTACTCCTATTTTACCTAGGTACAGGTATACCTGTACCTGCTATAGCAGTTTTGTTGTTGCGGTCGAAGTACTGTGACTAGGTCTTTTTATAATGTTTGAATCGTATACCGAAAATAGGGTTAATATTACATTGTAGTTTCATGATGGAAACACCTTTACCGTTCACTAAAAGTTAGATAGTTAGAAATATAGATTGGAAAAAAATCACAGTAAAAAGACTAGTTTTTCACAGTAGATCGACAATTGAAAAATTTTACATCGACGCAAAAGCCATGGGGGCATTCCACGTTACTCGGTAATTAAAAATTGTGAGTAAAAACCAAGTTATTAAATTAATATTTTATAATATTATTTTTATTGTGCTTATAACTTATTAAAAGCATAATAAACAATATTTTAAAATAAATTTTATAACGTGTAGTTTTTACTCACAATTTTTAATTGTGACGGGCGGGACAAAAATGCCCGAGTAACGTGAAATGACCCCATGATATTTCGACCATAAACTGCTTACTCATTATTAACTATATGTATTTAGTGAACAAATGGAACAAGTAAACTAAGCATTCACCGTGAATTTACTATACTATAACCGCTAAAAGAACGTCGATTGATGGTTTAAGTAAACCGACCATGAATTGGCTATTTATTCACCGAATCTTCACCGTAATGATGAAACCGCTAGGGTACAAATAAAAAGTCTCATATTCTAAACTCTGAAATGTACATGAATGTACAAGTACAAAGTGTACAAAACGGTTTTTAGACCAAAAAAATTTACAGGATGTAAAGTGAAAACCGAAAACCTTGTATGAATAAAAATGATGTATATAATATGAATATTTAAAAAAATTTTTTTAGTTTATGAAAATTTCTTCGCTACAAATTTCTTGTGGACCTCCCATACTTAAATTTACTAAACAATTATTGAATCAAGTTTGGATCATTCAATTCACCTTAAAATTATTTTAGTGACCTTATGTCCTTTATAAATGATAGATCAATAAACAATATAGCTATTTTTATTACTATATTTATTTTTATTTATATCCTAAACAAAAAAGTTTAACAAATGAATACTTTGTATGAAATAAATCATATCGGTTACAATATTTTAATATTAAATTAATGTATTTATAATTATGCTCTGAAAATTTATTAACGTTAACAAAAAATTTGCATATTAATTTATGTAGGTACAAAATAATCGCTAATAAAATTATATTTTATGATTATTTATATAAATAATATAATAATATTCATCATGTTTACGCAAATATTAATTAACTAAAAGAACAAATGTTTATAATTATATTTTTTAAATGTATGTATATTCTTTTTAATATTCGTATTATTGCTTTTTACTCAATTATTAATTAGTTTTTAATGTTATTATTTATGTTGTATATAAAAACAAGTTTATTTATTTAATAAATGTCAGTTAAATTAAATGTTAGTTATACTTTATTTTTATTTCCAAATACATATAGACAAACAAAGTATACCTAATTAATTTTGTTTATGAAATTAAAAAAAAAATATTTATTAAATAATATTTATTAGTTGCCAATAGTTAAATGTTGCAATAAAAATGCATATTCATTAAATACATAACATAAGTTATTAAATTTTAATAATCCAAATTTTATTATGATAATAAATATTGTATTAATATTAAAAATATATTTTAACCTTTGGCAAAAATAAAATTTATCTTGGAAATATTTTATTAATTGTTTGGTATTTTTATTTATTTTATATATATATACGAGGTGTGTTCAGAAAATAACGGGAATTGTTAAATTTCGCGGGTTTGGAGGGTCCGGTTGTCATAAAAAAATTTTATTATGTTGGTATACATGCCCCCGAAGTATGATAAAAACTTTAGCTGTTTTCATTGTTTACTTTGTCTGTGGCAGCCGCTAAGGTTAGACGTTTTATGAGCTCGGCAATTTTTCGTTCGTTAAAAGAAATGTATCAAAGAATTTGTATCCAATTTTGCTTAAAAATGAAATAAATTCTGTGAAATGTTAACAAAGGCCTATAGTGAGTCTGCTATAAGTAAAACAAGAGTTTACAAGTGGTATAAGAGTTTCCAAGATGGCCGTGAAGACGTTGAAGGTGACGAACGCCCCGAACGCACAAGCACATTGACAACCGATAAAAACATGGAAAAAGTGGAAGAAATGGTTATAAACCATCAGAGAAGTCGCTGATTATGTTGGTATATCGATTGGCTCATCCCATGAAATTTTTTCAAATATTTTGGGTATGAAACGTGTGGCAGCAAAATTTTTTCTAAAATTGTTAAATTTTGAACAAAATTTTTGACCAAAAACAATACTGTAATGATGCCCCAGCCTCCATATTCGCCAGACATGCCTCTGTCTGACTTTTTCCTATTCTCAAAAATAAAGAGAACCTTAAAGGGCCGTCGTTTTGCAAGCATAGATGACATTAAAAGCGCATCGCTGAAAGAACTAAAGATCGAGTTTTAGAAGTGTTTCGAGTATTGGAACATGGCACATGTGCATAATATTCAATGGGGACTATTTTGAAGGCGACAACATTAATGTAGACGAATAAATAAATATTTGTTTCAAAAAACTAAAATTCCCGATATTTTCTGAACACACCTCGTATATAATAAAACATAGTTTAATAATTTAATTTTTATTTATTTGGATACAGGTAAGTAACCTTTGAGAAATCCAGGTTGGTAGTAGTACCCACATTTTCACTGGCCCTGATAACGTAGATATAAATTGACAATAATTAAAATTTTCTTAAAAAATATACATGTGGGTTGGTATTTAATTTAAAATATAAATTATTTTAGAATTAAAATACAAACTTTATTAAAAGAAGGCTTAATATATTTATTTGAACCTAATTAAAAAGTTCTTACCCTTGTGATCAATTATATTACATTTCACATATTTTTTTATTAAAAATACAATAATAAATATTGATTTAATAATAATAGGTATAGATTAAAATGTGCATTACAAAGAAAGGAAAAGATTTTAAATTTTAGCTAAAAGTTTTGAAGCATTTTTTGCGTATTGTTTGTAAAAATGAAAGTACGTACGTATACTATAGTTTCCACAAAATAATAATAACTCCAAAAATTTTTAAATGGACACGAAAAAAAAACATTGTACATAGATTTTCTTTGAATTTTAAAGCAAACGTTTTGAAAACCAAAATTGGAAATTCTGAATCAATTTTTAAACTAAAAAAAACGTAACCGTTGGTTTAATCAATCATTTTAAAATTCTATCTCGGAAATATTTAAAGACACTTCTTGGAGAAAATTTTTCGCGCGCGTCGAAATAAACTATTCAAAAGTATATAAATTTGACATGGAAAACCTTTCGACTAAATTTAGTTTCATTGTTTCAATTCCCTCTAAAATTTTACGTTCATCTGTTGGTTGTTCCGTCGGGGTCTCCCCTATTCCGATTCTGCAACTGACATTTTTCATGGAACAAAAGAAATAAACCTTCTTGATATAATTTATGAGTAAGTATTCTATTATTTATATTTTAAAGTAAATATTTATTAAATAAACAGGAAATTCTTTACCGACATACGCGTAACTCGTTTTTAACGTCATTTCCAAAAACACATAATATTTTTGTATTTTTTTTTATTTTGTGCCAAATAGTAACCTAAAAAAAAGTATAAAAAATGGTAATGTTAATTCACTGGTTAAAATATTTAAATCAAGCACTTTTATAAAACCTTCATTCTTACTTAAATGAGGTTTCAAAATTAACGAAAGATTTATTTTTCCAATAAAATACATAATTTACTAAAATTGCAAACATTTAAATTTATGTAAACTATATAAATGGTGATAATTTTTGTCAGCTCAGAAATTATGCTTGGTTGGCATTTATGTAAACTTGATAAAACCTCACAAAACCCTAAAAAATAAAGTTATGTGGCTTAGATATTTTACAATTTCGGTGGCCAATTGATGGTGTCTAGTGTATAAGATACACTGTTCAATCGTTATCCATTACTTTAGATTATCTTACATTTTGCCATATTAAATAATATATATTA